TGGCTCAGAAGTAGTTGTTTCTCTATACAGGCGCAGTGGAAGAGTCGATAACTGCTGTAATATCAGGAAAAAATAAGATTTCAACGATATATATAACTATTCATAAAAAATGTAGTATTACGAAGTTAATTGGTTAAAGAGCTGACATTAAAGAAAGACAGAGGTTTGATAGAAAAAGTGGTTAAAGGCATCACCTGTCAGTAAAACACAAAGTGAATGTCATTAATTAATTAATATAATTAATTAATAAAGTATGATTTTTAATTTGTAATGGAAAAGTTAAGAGGAATGTGTGGAAGTAAAAATATCTAAAGTCTAATTAATCTTTATCATAAACATTAGGCCTATTGGGTTTCCATTCTACTCCATCTTTTGACGTTAAAACTGTTGAATGATTATTTGTTTCTTTTGAATTTCGCGCAAAGCTACACGAGGGCTATCTGCGCTAGCTGTCCCTAATTTAGCAGTGTAAGACTAAAGGAAAGGCAGCTAGTCATCACCACCCACCGCCAACTGTTGGGCTAATCTTTTTTACCAACGAATAGTGGGATTGACAGTCACATTATAACGCCCCCACGGCTGAAAGGGCGAGCATGTTTGGTGGGATGGCTTTGACCACCGGGCCATGTTGAATGGAAAGAAGTTTAAAGTTTCAAAGATTGTTAAAGTGGCATATTGAGGATGTATAGCGCTCGGGGGCAAAACATAATTTGGCGCCCCTCCTCCAAAAAAAAAATCCAACTCCATCCACCCTTTACAATCTTACTATCTAACTTTACATGGCAACCCTACCTACCATGATATTGTATCTCACCATATTGTCGTGGTTATCTGATGTTTGAAAGACAATGAGCCTTAGTCTTTATGGGAACAGCTAAATCCTGGGTAAACTGTTTGTTAATTTTTCGCCCCTGAACCCCCTTCTCCCTCACTACGCTACTCCAAAGCTGTGTTGATGAGCCTTGAATAGGCAAAACTGTAATCTGCAGCAGAGGGTGCGGCCAATCAAGGAATGCATTAGGCCTCTACGTCACAGGAAAATAAATTTATAATACTATCTTCCAAAATTCGTTTTGCTTAAATCAAGAACAAAATATATTTTATTTTATCTACAACTACTACTACTGGTTCTATTTTGATGCACTTATAGTTCAAGAACTAGAGTACACAAATCAAAATGTATATTACATCCGAAAATTGGTTTTTAAGCGTTTAACATATAAAATCCGATTTATGTTTTTTAGAAATAAATGTTAATGAATACGTAGATGCATTCAACATGCGTACATATATATATATATATATACATACATACACATTTTCTATTGTTTTTAGTTCCAACTGTTTGCTAAATGTGATCGAACGATGGTACAAAGTTTATTACAAGATGACGGTGAACATCATTACGTCACCACCGACGGAAACATTCGAATATTCCACCAGGACGACTCGCAACAAGTAAGGCTTTATATGCAATATTAATTTTCTAATTCAAAATATAATTTTTACCATGAGTTGTTTCCACTCCTGTGTATGATTTTCATCCCTAATATTGTATCAGTCGCTTTGTTTCCTTGTAAACCTAAAGAAACGAAATGGAATTTATTATGGTCTCTATATTGGATAAGTCGCTTTGTTTTCTTGTAAATCTAAAGAAACGAATGAGATTTAGGATAGTCTCTATATTGTATCAGTCGCTTTGTTTTCTTGTAAATTTAAAGACACGGAATGAGATTTATGATAATCTCTATATTGGATCAGTCGCTTTGTTCCCTTGTAAATCTAAAGAAACGAATGAGATTTAGGATAGTCTCTATATTGTATCAGTCGCTTTGTTCCCTTGTAAATCTAAAGAAACAAATGAGATTTATGATAATCTCTATATTGTATCAGTCGCTTTGTTTTCTTGTAAACCTAAAGAAACGAAATGAAATTTATGATGGTCTCTATATCGGATCAGTCGCTTTGTTTTCTTGTAAATCTAAAGAAACGAATGAGATTTATGATAATCTCTATATTGTATCAGTCGCTTTGTTTCCATGTAAACCTAAAGAAACGAATGAGATTTATGATGGTCTCTATATTGTATCAGTCGCTTTGTTTTCTTGTAAATCTAAAGAAACGAAATACAATTTATGATGGTCTCTATATTGGATCAGTCGCTTTGTCTTCTTGTAAATTTAAAGACGCGGAATAAGATTTATGATAATCTCTATATTGTATCAGTCGCTTTGTTTTCTTGTAAATCTAAAGAAACGAATGAGATTTATGATGGTCTTTATATCGGATCAGTCGCTTTGTTTTCTTGTAAATTTAAAGACACGGAATGAGATTTATGATGGTCTTTATATTGTATCAGTCGCTTTGTTTTCTTGTAAATCTAAAGAAACAAAATACAATTTATGATGGTCTCTATATTGGATCAGTCGCTTTGTCTTCTTGTAAATTTAAAGACGCGGAATA